AAATCCATAAATTAGTTGCAGAATACGACACCGTCTAAACAGAATAGAATAAAAAGTCCGACGAAGTCATCATTGCTAAAAGTTGGAAAGTAAGTTTTTTTTTTTTTTAAATCCCCCTTTTAAAGCCTATTTTTTGGCTTTGATGAAAGGAAAACTTAATTTCTTAGCTGTCTGATGAGATTGGAACACATGGGATAATTTTTTAGCAGTGTATGTTGTTTTCATATGAATGCTTTGATTTGACAACACTAGATGATTTTATACATTATTTTCTTCGAATTATATCTTATTGGCGTTCTCACCATTTTTTGCAATTTTATCGAATGTCGAGTGGAATGAATGCAGAGATCGAAGTATATTTTAATAAACTATGCTTGTAATAATTCATATGGAAAATGATTTCAGGAAGAAAAAATATTCAGCTGATGCACAAAGCGACAAATATGACTTGACGGAAAATTCAAAGTAAATTCTTACTTTAAATTTCGATGTTGTTTATTCGGTTACTGCACATTAATGATTGGACTTTTTTCTTGAACTTCTCAAAGCTTTGGATTCAGATGGTCGCTTGTAATGATCAGTTAGTTATTACAGAACATTTATAAAATGTGGTGAGCGACGAATCAGTGCTGCTTCATCGCAAACCAGTGCTGTATATCCGGTTAGCAGTAGCCCAGTGTCAGTTTATTGTTCGACCGATGATTTATACTGCGGGAAACGAGCACCTTATGAAAAATTGTCGGAAGCGTCAGATCCAGCAACGATGACGAATCCATTATATATTCTGCCAAGAAATTTTCCAGCACGTGATCGAGCATCGACATCTGCATCTCGGGTTTTCTTCAGGTGACTTTTATCTTAATTCTCAAGTAACTGAAAAGGTAGTCAGGAATGCATTAAAATAGTGTAGAAGGTGGTATCGTGGAGACTGATGTAGGTAACAAACCAATGATTGCATGAAGTGAACATTTCCTTCAGTGAAAGTGTTTGCTCTTGTTTCTGTCATTTTTTCATTCTGTCGCATAAATCTCTTATTTTAGCGGGACTCCTCAACGTACCTCTAAAAATTCTTCTGTTTCTGCTTCATGTGATGACCGGTTTAGTAACAGTGGTCTGAGTACAATTGAAAATCTTTCATATAAACCGCCAAATGAAATGAAAGTTTCACGCAGTACCATGACACAAAGTAAGTTTTGTGTTATTTAAATTACATTGTACCACGATGCCTTTTATGAAAGAGCAATACACTTAATGAATTACATTTGCTAACTAAAATTGATTTGTCTGAAATATTCGATATCTGCCATCCTTATTACTGAGAATCGGATATTAGCTTTAATTTCATTGATTGTTATTTTCAAAAATGTTAGCGGTATTTAATGATTTATTCAAAAATATTGTAGATTTTCTTTTTTGTAACAACATATAGGACACACAACTGAAAAGTTCTCAGTAATAAAGCAGATCTGGGTAAATAAGTTTGATGTAATTTCTTCGTTCTAAAAATTTATTTTTCTGTACTCATATATAAAAAACGTATTTTTCAGTCACATTAGATAGTCCTGTTGAAGGGGGTATAGATATGGATGCTACAAAGCGTTCGTTCAATTCACTTAATAGTGAAAGTGGTTTGTTTTCAGTAATATTCTATTTCTGGTTTGTGTTTCATTTTTCATATTTTTTCTTTTTGATATTTATGTGGCGTACAATCAATTAATTAATGAGAATATTAATGAGACTAATTTTTGAAAGGGAGGCTTGAAAGAGATTCAATTTTCTAAGTGTGTTTAAAAAGAAATGAGTTGTTTTTCAGGTTCATTTTGTGAAGATTCATCATTACATGGTACAACATTGAATGCTATCGACTTGTATATGCCTATGTCAAGAGTTGAGCAAAATGTGGTATATTTTTTGATTAAAATTGATACTACCCAGGAATTAATAGGTCATCGTAAGCTTAGCTCTTGGTGATCTAATTAGTTCTGAAATGTTTGAATTTTCTGAAATTGTTAATATTAATAGAAGAGTTGAAGTATTAATATTGATAAAAGAATTAAAATATTTTCAAGATAGTACTTCCTGATTAAAGTTAGCCGTAATAATGTGTCAGATAGCAATAAATTGGAAATCGGATGTTACTTCTTTTTTATAGTTAAGTATATCCCCGCGATTTCTTGACCAATGTAGCGATCAAGAAGAAAGTCATGTTCATCATGATGCAATTCATTATATTGCTGAACGGTGAGATTTGCAGTTATATTTCGAATCCAATAAAGAAAAGTCTAAGAAACGCCATTTGTTTTGTATATATGGACACAAAAAAGCTTTACAATGATTTGGAAAGTGATTTATTTCATGGTGAAAAATCCAAAATGAGATTGCTTCACTGAGAGCAGTATAATTTATCGGATTTGTTTCCACAAATATATTCTTTCTTCAATTCAATATCTGATGAAATTAAATCACTGTTGCAGTGTACAAGTTGGATGTGAGCATCCACCTGAGATGCAGGCACCAACTCTACCTGGAGCAGCTGTTGGATGTCGGCCACAACGACCGTACACATTGGATCTCACTTCGCCTGCTACTCCTGCTGAAAGTGGGATAAGCACTGCTGGAAGTTCATATCGCAGTTTTTCGAATACTGATCAAGGATTGCAAGATCATAGTCTACCGCCTTATGTGGATTCCGGTTCCACTTTATTTTGAAATTATATTATAGACTTCGATTAGAAAGCATTATTAATTATTTACGTAGGATGAGTATTTTGTTTATATTCAAAAGATTGTGGAAATTAGCTATAAATGCACTGCGTACCTAATGAATGGGATCTTAGTAAAGACAATCAATTATGGATGTGAATTTTTATGAAAATTCTCCATTTTCATGAAAGCATTAGTAGTTTTCAGTTCCACGTCTGGCTCCACCGATACCACCACGAAATAATGCAAAACGTCTTGAAGATGAAGCTACAGCTTTGCAATGTCAACGATTAAGTCCCGTTTCGCAGTCACCCTGAAAGTTAATGTTGATATTAAATTGGGAGCAGAATTACACTTACGTCTTTGATTTTTACTGTCAACCTCCAGTGATGCTAAAGCTTGTCTATTGTTTTCTTTTTTCATTTGTTTGTTTGTAAAGATTAACCAATGTATTGTGCAATTTGTCATTCTAAGTCATTCCGTATTGTGCGTTAATATAATGGAATGTTTTTCCATAGAAAGGATATGAATGGTTAGTTATCCTTTTGTTCTTGTATCATATTAGAACTAAGCCATAAATTGAGAATCATTCATTGCAGTTCCCCTCTCTCTGATGATATCAGTTGCTTTATATCTTTTTACTTGCACATGTAGCGCGTTACTTGTTACCGGTGCAACTTTTTTGTTTGTTTTTTTATCAGCTTTCTGTCGCTTACTTATTTCTGTTCAGTTTTGTGGTTAATGAAATCCGGTTTTTCAGGTAAAAAGTTTTTCTCATTGATTTGTAAATTGAAGGTCATTCAGCTTGTAGGCATCTTAGAAATCGTGATTATTCTGGTCATAATAAAGTGATTATAGTAAGATATCTTAGTGAGCCTTGGTTTTCCAAAGTGCTCTGAAATTTGAGGATTTGAAAAAACTATGACACAATTACTTCAGAATGGAAAGAAAAATAATATCTAGCGCGGTTTTACATGATACTTTTTTTGCTGTAACTTCACTAGAAATATCTTTTAGGTATTCGACTATACCAGTCAGTTTCTTTTTGAAACTTAAACTATATGCTTGAGATACGAGATTCTAATTGGGGTGTGTTTAAAACATGGTAAAAATTTTAAATTACCCATCAATAAATTTATTAATTATGATACTGTGAACTATTATCTTAGCCAAACCTCTTACCCATTTCGATTATTTGTAATGAAGCAATTATTTCAATAACTTCGATCCGGGCTTTTATCTATTAATGTCTAATACATTAATAGATAAAAGATAAGTTCACTCTAATACACTATCACGTGTAACGATTTCAGAGCACGTTTACTTAGGACTTCGGTTTAGAAGATGCAATCTTTTGCTAGAGATGAGAAATTTTATCATTCCTTTTGGATGGGTCACTTGGCTTTGACTGATAAGCCGGACTTTTTCTGGTGAATTAGGCATGACAGATTATTCGGAGTAATACCGGCAAAAAAAACAACATGTAATGATGACCTGTTTTCTTTTCAGTGCCGAGCTGTATACAGCGATTAATTATTGTTTTATTTGTTGCTGTTTGCTTCTTTTTTTGTTGTGTAGTATGTTGCAAAATGTGAATGTTTTGTGGTTAAAGAAAAACTGGTTAATTATTTTGTAACACACATCGATATTCATTAATACACGTTGTCCAGTAGGATTATTACAAATAAATTTTAAAGTAACGAAGTTACTGTTTTATCACATATCTTCAGGAGATCACGTCATATCTGATATCTATGGAATAGCAAAAATTTTTAAGTTCTGAAAATTCTAATTGTAATAAACAAATATTCACAATTCTTTTTTATATTTTTAGTTGTTGCATTTCCTCTATCACGAAATATCATTGGTACGGCGATAAATCAATGGATACATTTTATGCCATTTTCTCGTTATATTTAAATGATTATTTGGTTTGATATTCTTATAGAAGACAACAGGTTCATAATGTGTATGTGTATAGTGTTACGTATATTTCTGAATATGACTAACGGATACAAATGTTTAGTTCATTGCACTTGATGTTCATTTGATCTCAACTTGCATTCTTTCTTTTGAATTATCCATTTCCATTGATATATGATATAAAGTATTTGAAGCATTTGCTTCTTTCATTCGTTTCCTATCGATCGATAGATTAATAATAATTATATGATTTGTCGTTTTATATGGTTTCCATTTCTTATTCCATTCATTATTGTAATTTTTGCTTGTTATATATTCTTCTTATGTAAGTTTTATTTAAGCATGTTTTTTCAGCATTTCAAGATTATAACAAGATGAATAGCGTAACTGTAATTTGTCCCAATTCTCATCGTTGTGTGGTAAAAGTAACACCATCAACTCAGCTTCGTAAGGTTTGCTTATTATAAATTATAAAAATTAATGTTGTTATTAGGTTAGATTGATATTTGATGAGAAGTATGGAATACATCAGCAAATTTTAATTTTCATTAATTAAGCTTCTTCATCAAATATCAGTTTTCAATTAGCTTCAACGTATCAAAGCAAAAAATTAACGAACGCAGCTTATCTTTTTTCCATTCATTCATCAGTGTTCTTTTTCATATGTTGAATGATAATTTTTTTATCTTATAAATTTAGCCATTTTCTAAATTAATTATCATATTACTGATATGTAACTTTGCATGTTCTTTCTATTTTATTTTTTTATTGTATTAATGAACTTTTTTAGATTTTGGAAGAAGCTTGTTTGAAGCAAGGTTTCGATATATCGACACATTATTTGATGCATCAAAATCATACGTTGGATTTGACATTACCGCTTCGCTTTACTGGTTTGCCTAACAACGCTACCATTGAAATGGTGCAAAGTACTAACGTTGGTGGTAGAATTCCAGTACAGATTCAAATTGCCTTACAAGTATGAGTGTTTGAGTTCATAAATTGTCGACTGATTATTAGACGATTGTCTAGTATAGGAAATTACATAAGCTTTTGTCCTTCATGTATTACAATATTGAATACCTGGATATGTAGTATTGGGAGTATTGGATTTTGCGATGCTACTTTATATAAAATACAGTTTAGTCTTGATTCTTCAAGACACATGTGAACTTCTCCAGAAATCACATAAAGATTATATCATACACTTTTAATTGAAGTGAAGTTAGTTAACTTCACTGTGATTCTACATTCTTGGTTAAATTAAGCTTTGCCGGTATTTAAAATAACATTTCATATTTAATATTCTTGTTAGTTTTTTTTCATGTAGAGATTTCCATGTGATGTAAAGTTATGACAGACGATGAGAAACAATGTTTATTTCTAAATTAAATTATACTTATTTTTGCAGTTTTAGCTTCCGGATGGGTCTCGTTTCATTCAGGAATTCTCGAATAAAGCAAACTTGTTGGATGTTTTGTATGCATTCTCGCAGAAATCAGTTCAAGATTTGATAAAACTTACCGATGGTCAAGTACCATGTTGTGCCTATATGAACAAAGAGGTTTGCAGTATTTGAGTGTTGAATATCGAACAGTATCAGCGAAGCTACTGTTTTTGCCGTTTTGAGATGCCTCATTTTGAATGAACATTTTCGTTGTTGTGTAAAACATATCGCAATTTTATTTCTTTTTTGTTCGGTTTGGAATCTGTTGCTGGTTAGGACTGTAAGATAATGTTCAACCTATTTTGCTACACAAAGCAACTTTTATGTCACATTATTTAATGTGAATTGCGGGTTTGTTATTTCATATTTTATAGTATCGCGGAGAAGCAGAACTTAAATTGACAACTTTGGAAGCAATGGGAATAACAGGAGGACGCTGTTTGATCAGGTACTTCGTTATTTCATTATAAAGTTCTACCTGTGTGAATATGCATGTACAAAATGGATTTTCTGATTTTATTTCAAGTATTGGTAGTGCCGCTTGAATTATCACTCTTTTCTTTCATGGTGTCAAGAGTAATAAATCTATCATTTTGCATTAAGACATTCTGACTCATGCATTTATCATTGAAACTTAAACCAATGTGTTTCTGATTTGAAAGCTTTCTAGCTAGTGCAACGGAAATTTTCAGATATTTCCCAGTTAGAATGTCACAGGATGAAATATCAAGGCTCGAAAATCGCCTTGCTGAAGAATGTGAACGGAAGAAAAAGCTAGAAAAAGTGTACGAAGCACGGAAAACAGAAAATGAACGTCGACTGCAGTTAGAAAATGAAAGGGAGGAGGTACTACTTGTTTTGTCGGTAATGAACAAAGAGATCCTCTGAGATGGCTGGAAAAGTCAATTTTGTATTTGAATATATGCTTAGAAGTATTAAGAAAAATTCGCACCATTTGCAACTACTCAACTGAGAAGTTATGATAAGAAAAAGTACTCAATTGGAAAATTGAGTACTTTTTTCTTTTAAGTTGAGCAAACATGGGACTTATAGATAGACTGTGTAAAGTCAGTTAGTTCTATAAGATTTGATCTTGTTTGCTTGAACAGTTCGAACTATGACATATAAAGTGGCCATCATTATCCTTGCAATCTTATCGTGGCTTTAAATAACTATCCTTATTCTTCCTTCGTTATAGCCTATTACTTTTCTGCAGTAGAAATATTTCTAAAAAATAATGCAATGATTTTATCACCCTATCCATAGACATTCATGCATTTGTTTTCTTTTTTGCAATCTTCTTTTTGTTTTAGATTTTTGAACGCGAACTAAAAGTGAAGCATGAAGCGGAGGCAGCCTGTTTGCTAGAATGTGATCAAGAAGCTAGTAGGCAAGGATCTTGAACCATTAATTAATTTTAACTGCTTTCGTTTTAAGCAATAAGACTATATTTATTATCTTCTCTATTTGATTATCAGTAATAACTTGTTGATGCCGAAAGATCTTAAGTCATTCATACCACTTGCAGAAACCTTGAAACTGCATCTCATACTGCGCCATCGGTAGATCTATCTGAAGGTGCAGTAGGACATGTTGTCCAGTCTGAAAGGCGGCCTCAACCTTCATCGCGTCTCAATCAGCTGCAGCCTATCCTTAATCAAGTACTTTTTAAATTTATCTCCATCAGTGAACGTAAAATAGCACAGAATTTCTAATGATTTAAAGAATCTTCATTTGCTGAAAATTAGTAAAAATCCATGAAATTGATTTTGATCATGGGTTCATTTAGTTATCTCTTCGACGATTATTTTAGTTTGAGTACAAACTCTTTCCGCATGGTCTGTCATATTTTACAAACTTTTGGGCTTGAATATATTAATTGAAGCTACATCCTATATCTTACATCACTTGCTTGTTCTCTTTTTTGAGTTTTATTTCGTTACTGAAATGGCTTAGGCTTTGCCATGTAAGATACTTGAACTCTTTCACCCTACACTAAATTCACTAGTTTACATGTTTGTGGACCATGTCTCATCGCTCTTGAAAGAATAAATCATTGGCAAATCAAAAAGATGTAAAAATTTTCTCATACGAAAAATGATCGAAGAATGCCTCAGACCTTGAGATATATATGTCTGTACTTTGCAGGTAAACACCAGTTTAACTGCAAGTAGAGTTGATTTTCTCGATGAACAGCTTATTGGAAAAGATGGCAGAATACACATTAGCGATTTACAGACATCGGCACGAGCACAAAAGGAGGATTATAGTGTGAGATTTTCGTATCCAGTTTTTTGTTCGGTTGAAGAAAAAACCTAATTCGGAATGCATCTTTTGTTTTAAAAACTGGGAACTAATATTATGACGCTATTTTTTCATTGTTAACTATCATCCATGCAAGCTTATTTGCTTGCCTTTGCTTGTTTGATTGATTGACTAACTGAAAATAAATGAGGACAAAAAAGTACATGATGAAATGAGCTAGAAACTATAATAGCCTATTGTTGCCAGCAATTTCGCAGTTTTGGTCATGACGGTAGTTTGAATGACAAAAGTTTAGATTTGTGATTCTTTTATTGAAAATTGTTATAGAGTGATGTTTGCAACTCCATTACGTCCTCTTCGGAAGTATCGTATTTATCTGTTGAAAAATGTAACCGAATGCCTGTCATCATCAGGCAAGATTTGGAATCTAATGAAAGTCTAAAAGATGTAGGCGGAAAACAAGATGATATTGATGATCAATTTTTTGAACTTACCGTCAATGATATACGGAGTATTCGTCGAGATCTCAAGGCAGAAGCGTTTGTTTTTCAATTTCTAAATAAATAAAAGTAGGTCAGCAACTTTACAAATTGTTTAGTGTTGGTGGTATAGCTTCCAGCTGCAAACGCTGTCGTAGGAGAAGGATTGAGTCAAATAATTCATAAATTATTGAAAATTTTATTGAATTTTTTTTTGATTCACAAATTATTGAAAATTTATGAGGAAACAGTAGATTGACATCGACACTGCATAAGTTGTTTTATTTTGTTCTAATATTAATAAACTTATTAACGTACTGCGGACCTAAGTGACAGAACAGTGATATATGAAGCTGGAAACAGCATTCTGCTGGAATATATGAGTTGGAAGCAGCATTCTGCTGGGGAAGTTAATTTCAGTAAAATCGTATCAGATTCCTCACACATTTCGAAAAATGATCAGATAAAATTATGATGAATAAATTTTCAGAGGTATACAAGAACAGAGAGCTCTACTACCAAAAACATATATTATTGAAAAGAATAAGCGCCTAAAAGAAGAAAGTTACAAACATACGATAATACGATTCAATTGTGCTGATAAAACGGTTATACAAGCTCAGTTTGTCTCACGAGAACCTGGTTATTCTTATAATTCGCTGATATTATTTAAATTTCACATCAAAATAGGTTTTGGATCATATTTACTTCAAAATGCTTTATATTAGCAATTGGAATTATTCTATCTTCTTTTCAGTATTGCTGTGATTTTATAGCTCTTTTTTGGCATCAAATAAGATAAGCAAATATGGACTGTATTTCAGTGTCGAGATTGTTTGAATTCATAGCGGAAAATTTGAAAAATTCAGTGGTGAAATTTGATCTCTGTCTTGCAAATCAGAGACTTCCGTCAACCGTTTCAAAAAATTTAATTGAAGTCGGTGTTGCTCCAAAATCTTCATTGTATATACGATTTCATTCACCACAAAATACATTTGGTAATTTCTCTTTACATCTAATGAGATACCAATAAAAAATTCAACCACTAGGCTTTTTGCTGCATTGTGAAAAATATCATTAGGCAAGGTAACTAATATTAAGACTTCTTGTTGTTGATTTAAAATTTTAGGTGAAATTTTTTTACATTTAGCTCATCTCTAGCTTGGTAAACTGATGAGTCAGCATAGCGATGTCGTAAAGTGGACAGTTTTTATATATCATTTCAAAAAAGTTATCATTATAATTATCAAATCAAATTGTTAAACCTTTTATTCGCTATTGGGATGATTCGATGGTGACCAGTATAGTCTGTAAAAAATTTTCCAAATTTTCACCATATTCTAATTTTCCTTGCTTTTTTCAGCTGCTCATTTTGTGCGGGATAAATTCTGTGA